GGTACTCATTTTATGTTAAAATTGGCTCAAAAAAGCGAAAATGTCGTTAGAATTGCAATTCGGTTGACGATTTTCCTGAAACATCAGGATTTTGGCACGAAAATTCCAGAAAACGTTCCTGAATGCAGTTGGCTCGCTTGTTAATATTTTGAGGTCAATTCCGGTCACATATTTGGCTTTTTGAGACAATCTAAGCTAAAAATTAGTACAATGAAGTTTTTTTTTTTTTTTAAAGATGGGAACCCAAAAATATATTTTTTTGGAAAAATTCACCCATCGACATGGTACTCATTTTATGCTAAAATTGCCTCAAAAACGCAAAACTGTCGTTAGAATTGCAATTTAGTTAACGGTTTTCCTAAAACTTTATGACTTTGGCACAATAATGCAACAAAAAGTTAATCAAAGCTTCGCTTCTACAGATTTTCAGGTCAATTCTGGTCAGCGATTTGGCTTTTTGAGACAATTTAAGCTGAAAATGACCACCATGTCGATGGGAGCATTTTTCCACAAAAAAGTTTGAAACCCAAAAATCGTGTTTTTTCGGAAAATTTCACCCATCGACATGGCAGTCGTTTTATGCGGAAATTGACAAAAAAAGCCGAATTTGACATCGAAATTCACCTCAAGCCGGATGCCAACAATTTGGCGCGTTTTCCATGCAAAAATCGTCAAATTTCTCGAAAATCGTTCAACGAATCGCAGTTTAAGCTCAATTTTCGGTTAGAAACGAGTAACATGTCGATGGGTCTGTTTAAAAAATATAAATTTGGCAACACCTACAAAATAAATTAGTGGAGAATGGAAATTTTTCCATCGACTTTTTATGCGATTTCAGCCAAAAATTGCCCCAAACCGCAATCATCAGGCGCCTCCACGGGAGTTTTTGCGCGGCAACTCCACGCGTTTAAACTGCTCAAATGAGGATAGGAAAGTGTGCCTTCTGAGGAGGCAGAATTGTGCAAGAACGTTGTCAATTTGAGGATCCATTTGGAGTTAGTTCCCTCACGAATATTGAGGAGGAGGCATTGACATTTTCCTCAATTGAGGCAATTTTCAGGTTTCCAGGGCAGTTTAGAGTGGTTTTCCCGGCGAAATTTGGACGCCGACGTGTTGATGTTAGTGGAAACGTTTCGGCAATGCACCGTCCTCAAATTTACCATGAGGAAATCTGCTCCCGGCAAAACGTTGGCGATGTCGAAAGCGATTCAGTGGTGATTTTTCGGAAACGCCGGCAACAATGGTTTGCGGCAAAAAGGGCGAAAAATATACTTTTCGAAAATTGACAAAAACGAAGCAACCAGTTGCCCGGAAAATTGTCGAAAAGTTTCGAAAACCGGCCACCTTCAGGCATAAAGACGTCGTCGCAATTGGCAATTTCTGTGCACTTGCCCACATTACGGATATTTTCAAATTAACCTCAAAATATTGATAAGCGAGCCAACTGCATTGAGGAACTTTTTATTGCATTTTCGAGCCAAAATCTTCAAGTTTCAGGAAAACCGCCAACTAAATTGCTATTCTGATGACATTTTTGCCTTTTTGCGTCAATTTCAGCATAAAATGAGTACCATGTCGATGGGAGCATTTTTCCACAAAAACGTGGAACCCAAAAATTGGTATTTTTGAAAAAATTCACCCATCGACATGGTACTCATTTTATGTTGAAATTGGCTCAAAAAAGTGAAAATGTCGTTAGAATTGCAATTTGGTTGACGATTTTCCTGAAACATCAGGATTTTGGCACGAAATTTCCAGAAAACGTTCCTCAATGCAGTTGGCTCGCTTGTTAATATTTTGAGGTCAATTCCGGTCACATATTTGGCTTTTTGAGACAATCTAAGCTGAAAATGAGTACAATGAAGATGGCTTTTTTTCTGTAAAAAAAGTTGGGAACTCAAAAATATTTTTTTTTTTGAAAAAATTCACCCATCGACATGGTACTCATTTTATGCTAAAATTGGCTCAAAAACGCAAAACTGTCGTTAGAATTGCAATTTAGTTAACGGTTTTCCTGAAACTTCAGCATTTTGGCACAAAAATGCAACAAAAAGTTAATCAACGCTGTTGGTTCGCTTGTACAGATTTTCAGGTCAATTCTGGTCAGCGATTTGGCTTTTTGAGACAATTTAAGCGGAAAATGACCACCATGTCAATGGGAGCAATTTTCCACAAAAAAGTTTGGAACCCAAATATCGTGTTTTTTTGAGCCAACGCGTTGATGTTAGTGGAAACGTTTCGGCAATGCGCCGTCCTCAAATTTACCATGACAAAATCTGCTATTGGCGAAACATTCGCGATTTCGCAAACGATTCAGTGGTGATTTTTCGGAAACGCCGGCAAAAATGGTTTGCGGCAAAAGGGGCAAAAAATATACTTTTCGAAAAGTTTCGAAACCCGGCCACCTTCAGGCATAAAGACGTCGTGGCTATTTGCACTTTCTGTGCACTTGCCCACATTACGGATATTTTCAAAACGGTAGCAGATTCGAACCAAAGGCCCAGAAATTTGCTACAAAACGCCGCGGGAATTTCTGGAAAATGCTGAAAACTGGCCGAGTCAGGGGCGAAAAACTGAAACAGTTCGGGCCGATATTCCCCCAAGGGTCGGGCACTGATCGTGAACAGACTATACGCATCTGGAGCGTGCAATTAATGGCAGCTGACAGCCGAATGACAGCTGGCCATAGTCCGTTCGGTTTCAGATGCAAGACTCACAAAACGGGTTTTCGAGACGATTCCAGCATAAAATTGCGAAATTTAAGGATTTTTTCGGAAAATCTTCGCCTGAAAAGGCCGAATTTAGCATCGCATCTGCGCTAGACTGAGCTCACACAGCCTGAAATCCCCTAACCTTATCAACAGCGGCCAGCAGGACATTGCGACAGGCCAAATCCCGATGCAGGAACCGTTTGGTTTCCAAATACGCCATCCCATTGGCCACTTGGGTGGCGTACTCGCACAGCATCGGCACTGCCGTGTGTTGGCACTGTTTGCGCAGAAAGTCCAGCAGGGAGCCGAGCTGCGCCAACTCAGTCACCATCATCATCGGCTGCGACAGCACTACGCCGTACAACCTAAAAAAAGAGTGTGAGTAACTGCATAGAACTAGAATAAAGCGCGTCATCTATAGTGGTACCTGACCAGGTTCTGGTGGCTCAAACAGTGCATCGCTTGCACTTCTTTGATGAAGTCCTCGAACACGCCCGGTTGATTCAAAGTGTCCGCTTTCAGCACCTTAACAGCCACGGGAATTGATTTGCCTGCAGGACTGGCCCATTCGCCTGCAAAAATAACGATTTTTTTTAGTTTGTGGGCGTTGGAAGCGTGCAAATTTTACCTCGTTTGACCACGCCGAAGCTGCCATCGCCCAGCTTGACGCTGAGCGTGATGTTGCTCTCCTGGATCAAGCAGGAGGTGAAATCGCTGATCGACAAACCGTCGTCGCTTCGTTTGGAGGTGCTCGATCGGCTCGAGGCCGGAATCAGCTTGTTGATGAGGTTCCGCTTCCGCTGGTGCGCCCGCTTCTTCTTCACCGCCTCCAGGAGGCGTCGGGCGCCTGCAAAGACACAAATATACAGTGTTAATCAACTCGGAAAATGTGGCGTAGCGCGCATCCGCCAATTCGTCCAGACGCGCCCAGAAGTTTCCCCTTGCGCTCGTCCTCAGGAGGTTTGCCCAGAAAAATTGACGCAAAAATGGCTTCTTTGGGTCTAATCATTAATTTGAAGGTTTTGAAATGGTGCCATCATCAGGGATTTTTTGAGTTTCAACAGTTTCGCGAGTCAATTGCCGAACACCGAAAAAGCTGGAAATTTTCCTCTAGGGGTTCTAGAATGGGCACACTGTGCGCCATAAACCAGTGAAAGTTTCGAATCAGTGCCCTCATCAATTTAGTTCCAATTATTTTTTTCCCAACTGGCTCTTTCAGATCGTTTTCGAAGCGCATAACCTGATGATGAACCATCGGGAAACGAAACGCGCTTAACAATTCCCGAATGCGTCATTGGACGAAGCATATTTTGCTCTCTAGACGTTGAAAGTTTCGAGCCGATGTCTTCGTTAGACTTCCTGAAATTAATTCAAAACCAACTGGCTCTTTTCAGTTATTTTTGAAGCGCATAATCTGATGATGAACCTTCGGTAAACGAAACAGACTAAACAAATTTTGAAACCGGTAATGAATGTAGCACGTAGCAGGTTATGAACGAAGTTTCAATCCCGGGCCTTCCTCAGGATTTTTGCAATTCATTCAAATCCAACTGCCTGTTTTCAGGCGTTTTTGTAGAGCATTATCTGATGATGAACCATCGGCAAACAAAACCCGCTAAACAATTTCCCTTTCCCCCCCGCCGTTGGACCAAGCAGATTTTGCTAGACGAAAGCTGAAAGTTTTGAGCCGATGGCTTCATCAGGTTTTTGGCAAAAATTCAAAGCCCTACTTTTTTCGAGCGTTTCTCCCGACGATAATCTGATGATGACTCACCGAAAAACAAAACAAGCTAAACAAAATTTGAAACTGGAAATGGACGAAATGCAGTTCGCTTGTTGGTGGCTGAAAGTTTCGAGCCCGGGCCTTYATCAGGATTTTTGCAATTAATTTAAATYCAACTGGCKGTTTTCAGTCGTTTTTGMAGCGCATAATCTGATGATGAACCATCSGCAAACGAAACCCGCTGACCAATTTCCGTTTGCGCCGTTGGACGAAGCAGATTTTGCTTGATGAAAGCTGAAAGTTTCGAGCCGATGGCTTCATCAGATTTTTGGCAAAAAAATCAAAGTCAACTAGTTATTTTCGAGCATTTCTCCCGGCAATAACGTGATGATGAATCATCGGAAAACGAAACAAGCTAAACAAATTTTGAAACCGGAAATGGACGAAGCACAGTTCGCTTGTTGATGGCTGAAAGTTTCGAACCCGGGCTTTCATCAGGATTTTTGCAATTAATTTAAATCCAACTGACGGTTTTCAGTCGTTTTAGTAGCGCATAATCTGATGATGAACCATCGGCAAACAAAACTCGCCAAACAATTTCCCTCTGCGCCGTTGGACGAAGCAGATTTAGCTCGATAAAAGCTGAAAGTTTCCAGCCGATGGCTTCATCAGGTTTGTCGCAAAAAATTAAAGCCAACTAGTTATTTTCGAGCATTTCTCCCGTCAACAATCTGATGATGAATCATCGGAAAACGAAACAATCTAAACAAACTTTGAAAGCGGAAATGAACAAAGCACAGTTCGCTTGTTGGTGGTTGAAAGTTTCGAACCTGGGCCTTCATCAGGATTTTTGCAATTAATTTAAATACAACTGGCTGTTTTCAGTCATCTTTGAAGGGCTTTTTGTACAAATTCTTCAAATTGGAGCCTTAAATCTGCTCAAGTTTGCGAGTTGTAACTTTTCCCTACAAGCAACCCAAACTTCCAACTTTTTAGGGCACTTTTCTGTTCATTTCAGACCTCCCGGAAAAAGGGGCTCATTGTTCAAGAACTCCTCCAATGAAACCCTCTGCAGCAGACGCTCGGATCAGGGAGCAGCTGAGCTGGGGGAGGCCCCTCCGGGCAACCCCGAGAAGACTCCTGGGTCCGAAGAACCCACTGATAGTGAGCAGAGCCCCCAAAATACCCCTCAATTCGGCTGGAAGGCCCCCAGGTATTCTACTCTAACCTCTAGATTTAAGCTCGCGATACGTACCCGGCTTGCTCAAGCCGATATTCTCCAAATCCTCCGGCTTAACGAACTCGAAATGCTCCAATCGCGTGACCAGCAAATCGTCCCTGAGGGGCACCAGAAACTGGCCCAACTGCACGTCCAGCAGGATCTCCTTCAGCCACTCGATCCCATCCTCAGCCATCGTTCACCCGCCTGAAACCACACGCGACACTTAAGATGGAAATTACCACATCGGAAGTGAAAGTCCGCGAACAATAGCCGGATGAAACTCACCCGGAACTCCCAGAGGAGTCTTGCAATGTTGAGGAATTGTTGGTTAGAGCATCGGGGCTCAGGGCGCCGATCCAAAGGGGGCGTAGCCACGGCTCGCCCTCACTAGCGACGGGTGAGGCCCGATTTCCCGGAAAATTCGCGAAAACCGCCGGAAAATGGGAAATAAACAAACGCTTTGGCAGCTTCAGTGGCTGGGGCTGCTAACGATGACAGGCGACAGCCATTGTGCTCCAGCGCCAGTGTTGTCGGCTTTAGCCGTGCCTGCCAAGAGGAACAGAGAAGCGAAATGTGCATTGCTTGGGCTAAAGAGAGATGCGGCATGAGACATCGTGACAAATTGACTTTACTAATAACTGACAGAGATGCCGATAGGCAATTTAAGGAA